ACAGAAAAGAGTAAAGCTGAATCACTTTACATTTCTCTAAATATAGTTCAATTTTTAATTCATTAGGACTTCACTACAGGCCAAGCAGTCATTTGTAGATCTGGCTTTTAAAACTGTTTGAAGAGTATTGGGTTTCAATATACAAAGGATTTTTTTTTCACTCTACATAGAGATCTGTATGAATGAAATGATCAAATGTTAATTTTGTGCCTACTGAATGGCAATGGAAGGCATTGATTTTTTTGTTTTGTTTTGTACTTTTAACTATAAGAGAAACTAGGAAAAGAATCTCAGAGAAATTTTGTTGTATTTCTAAAGGTAATAAAATTCAGTCAGCTGTCTTTCTTAAAGAAAATGCTGTTAGTGTATACTTTGAGTTGGTGGTAGCTTTTATTTAGAGTTCTCCATGATCTTTGTAGCTAAAGTAAACAATGTCTTTATGACCTTAGATGGAGTACATATTGTCACAAAATACCTTGAGCATAAAATATTTACTAAAAAAAAAACTCTGGGGTAAAATACTCAAATATACTTTTAAAGTTAGTTAAAATATTGATGACTGGCTCTTTTTCCTACATGTGTAATTCAATAGAGAATGCTTAATTCTCTTAGCTGTGATGAAATCTTTACTGCTTAGGTGCCGTGCTCAAGAGAAAACCAGCAAAAAAAAAGCAAGGGTTTGTTCCTTCACAGAACTGCCCAAAGCTCTCTGATGAACAATGGTGATATGAATGTGTAATATTGACTTCTTGAAGATAACCATGAGAACATTTTAATGTTACTTGCCTTATAAATTAGAAAAGGTGTGGATATCATTTTTTGTAAATAATGATTTTTACAAGTATTTTTTCCTTCATAATTTTCCCAATCACCCATTTTACAAAATCCTAAATATGCAATTATTTATCATGGCACATTACTGCAACTAGGGTTCCCATTGCAGGACAAAGTTTAATTATACTTGAGAACAAGATCAAATATATAAGTAAGTTACTATTTAAATGTGATTTTTTTCTGGAAAATAAATGAAAAACAAAAATGAGTTGTGAACCTCTTTTATTACCAGCCTCTTAAAGTTTTACCACATTTCTGGAAAACTTCGTTGCATATTTAGGGTGGGCATGGTGGGCAGAAGGTCTGGCACAGTGCAAGGGCTATAGAGTAGGACAAATCTCATTCTATAATTTAACTATAGTTTTGAGCATGTTACTCAATGATTCTTCATTTCCTTATCTTAAAAAAAGTAGAGTTACTATCCCCTTATCCTAGGGTCACTGAACAGATTAAATGAGATAATATTTATCAGTCACCTAACAGTTCCTAACTATTATATAGTAAATAGTCAACAACACTTTCCTGTTCTTATTTTTATGTGCATAGGGATTGAGACAGGCCAGAAAACGTTAATGCTCTTTCTCCAATGCTATCCTAATCCTTATGCGCTCTACTGTTATGCAGATGTATTGCTATTGACAGCCAATTCTAGCTGCACTGAGCACTCATTAATGGACATGCACCAAGCTAGGTGCTTAGGGCACCATCTTTTTCTATTTCCAATGATTGCCCACTATGTGAAGGTCCCTTCAGGGTCTGGTTTTGTTTGCTTTGGGTTGGGGGAAGGGCTCTGGGGTTAGAAGAGGGATAGTTATTAAGGAGGAAGGGGCCTATTAGTTATGTCAGGTGGGTTCTCAACCCCAAACAGCCTCCATTTCAAATCTTTGTAAACTTTAAGGATTGGGGAGAGTGGTGTCAAGGAAAGTGTAACGTGAAAGTTTGTAATGCCCAAAAGATAAGCCGATGAGTTCCAAGCGGCCCTGGGCATATTATTCAATATCTCAGAATCTCAATTCTCTAAATCTGTAAAGGACTAACAACGCCTTCTTTTTTTATTTTTATTATTTTTTTAAATTTGCTTTACTTATTTATTTATTTTTGGCTGCGTTGGGTCTTCCTTGCTGCGCGCAGGCTTTCTCTAGTTGCAGCGAGCGGGGGCTACTCTTCGTTGTGGCGCCTTATCTTGTAGTGAAACCTGGGCTCTAGGCGCTCGGGTTTCAGTAGTTGTGGCACAGGGACTCAGTAGTTGTGGCCCACGGGCTCTAGAGTGCGGGCTCAGTAGTTAGGTGCACAGGCTTAGTTGCTTCTCGGTATGTAGGATCTTCCCAGACCAGAGCTCGAACCCGTGTCCCCTGCGTTGCCAGGCGTATTCTTAACCACTGTGCCACCAGGGAAGTCCCAACAATGCTTTCTTGAAAGAGTTATTGGGAGGACTAGATAAAACTAAAACTGTTTGCCAGTACCTGGTAAATGTGAGCTCTATTATCAACCATCTGTGCCTTGGGGTGGTGGAAGGCAGCATCAGGGGTCGAGGGAAGGGAAGGGGGTGCTTTCCTTTCTCTCTGTACCTCGCATTTCCCGTCCTAGGAAACGGCAGCATTTCCCACTCCTGCCCCTGACATCTGCAAAAGGAAACTGATGAGGGCTCTCAGGGCTGCCCCTTGAGTTCCCAGATGTCCCCCTCGCTATAGAATGACTCGGCTTCTCTCCAGCTCGCGGCCACCCCAAGGCACAGCCAGGCTCAGCGCAGCCCGCTCTGGGCAGTGACGAGGAGATCCTGTACATCCTTAGGCGGCTCAGAGGACTACGCAACTACTATGTCTGCCTGGGGCGGGCCAAGGACTCTGTTTGAGAAGGTCACCTTGGAGACGGGCCGCGGAGTCCAGAGGGAGTGCGCTGGCATTCGCGGGCAGAGGGAAGCCTGGGAGGCGGGAGCCTCGCCCCGCGCTGGTCCCGGCAGCGGAGGAGCCCGTGGTCCGGGAGGCCCCCGGCCGAGTCGCGTCTGCATGTCCAGCACAGCCTTAGGTAAGTGCGCCCTCTCCGCAGCGCGTCTGGGCAGGAGCAGAGAAGACCGAGGCAAAAGGCAAGTTCGAGGATCGAGGGGGCTAAGCGGGGAGGGCCCTGTGTCACAAATGACCTGCCTGCCTTGTCCACGACCTCTCTCTCTAATGCCTTATTCCTCCTGCCTCCAAAAAATAAGAAAAAAATGGCCCCAGTTTTTGGAACTGGAAGCATGTCCTGGCCTTTTGTTCCCTGCCCGCCTGTGTGTCTCGGCTTTACAGTGTTGCCCAGTGCAGAGCTGGCCAGCCGGCTCGATCGTGGAGCAGCCTGAGTTCTGATCAGTCTGCCTGAGGTCTGGCGACACCGGCGGCCTCAGCCCCTCTGGACCTCCAGGTCCCAATTCTGGCCTGCGGGGCAGCTTTGGAAACAGGTGAGCAGACCGAGGTCTGTCAGTGTCACTTTAAGGTTGGAACCTGAATGACCCACTTAAACAGGCTCTGTATGTCTTGTTCACACATACACACGCTCACACAGGCACACTCATGTACACAGACACACTCAAACACACAAGCACACATGCATTCAGTGCACAGACACATCACACACAAAAGTGCACACACCGACATACAAAGGCACACACTCAGGTACACAGATAATCACTCATACACACAGGTACACACAAAGAAATGCTCACATGGGCACTCACACAGGCACACACATTCATGTACACACTCACTCATACACACAGCCTCACACACTCATGGGGACACACTCATGCTCATACACACAAGCACATGCCCACAGAGACATATATATGCTCACATAGAGATGCTCACACCCATGTACACACACTCTCACACACAGGTCCACAATCACACACTCCCCACACTGCCTCGCTTCCTAACACACAGTACCTCTGCTGTATTTGTGTGCCCTTCAGTACCCTTTGCCTCTGCCTTCCCTGACACTGATCACACTGGGGTTTTAGGTTGTGTTCTTGTCTGCCCTACCCACTTCAACTGCCAGCTCTTTGAAGGCAGGGACTGTTTTAGTTCTGTTTTAGTGCCTAGCACAGTGTCTCCCTGTTAGGGCTCTCAGATTTACAGATTATAAAATAATTCCAATGAATGTCTAAACTTGTATGTAGGCAATAGGGCAGTAGAGTTACAGTCCAAGTTCTGGGAAGTCCATTCCTACTACCAGCTTTTTCACAAGCATTTGTGAGAGGAGGTAGGTTTTCCAATAAATTACTTCATTAAAAGTTCTGGGCTTCCCTGGTGGCGCAGTGGTTGAGAGTCCGCCTGCCGATGCAGGGGACAGGGGTTCGTGCCTTAGTCTGGGAAGATCCCACATGCCGCGGAGCGGCTGGGCCCATAAGCCATGGCCGCTGAGCCTGCACGTCCGGAGCCTGTTGCTCTGCAACGGGAGAGGCCACAACAGTGAGAGGCCCGCGTACCGCAAAAAACAAAAACAAACAAACAAACAAAAAAAACAAAAACAAAAGTTCTGTTTGCTCTTTACAAAGTAAATCACTGTTGCTTGAAAAAAAAATACCCTTTGGAGAAGCAGCTCATCTTAATTTTTCAAGTAATAGCAACAACAACAAATGTTAATTAGCAAAATATCATTGAAATTAAATTTGGGGAGGCAATAAAAATATTGTTTTCTTGTGTAGGATAATATCGTTCCTCTACATATGGCTATCATTTCTCAGTGACTTTAACCTCTTCTGCAGTTAAGTATTTTTGTTGCAGCTTAATATATGCTTGTGTGAATTAAGTATGCTATTGCATAACCAGTGGTCCAGTGGTTAAGACTCTGTGTTTCCACTGCAGGGGGAGCGGGTTCCATCCCTGGTCAGGGAACTAAGATCCCGCATACCATGCAGTGCAGCCAGAAAAATAAAAATAAAACAAAAAAGGAAGTCTCTACTTCTTATAAATAAATTCTGAAATATTTTCAAAAAGAGTTATCATATTTCCAGTTATACTGACCAGAATAACAACATATACTAAAAATCACTCTTAAGGAAACCCCACTTCCCTATTCCAAAATGCCTTAAAAAAAAAAAAAGGATCTGTGTACTTTATTTAGAATGAGTCTCTGTGTTATACTAAAATATTTTCAGATCTTTTGTTCAGTATTTTACAAAAGTTTTCTTCCATAGGTTATGATGATGTCAGACATTGCTAAAGACAGAACGGCTCATTTACTGAAGAAGAGGGGCAGTGTGTCTTCTTTAAGTAGTCATGAGTTCCGGCGGAAGGAGCCTCGTGGGCGCACCAAAGAGTGAGTGACTGGATGTCCATTAACACACTCAATTATTGAATAAACAGGTTCATAATATTTATCAGGAGGAAAAAAACGCATTTCCTTTGGGACATAAAAAGGGAGAAAAGGGGCTTCCCTGGTGGCGCAGTGGTTGAGAGTCCGCCTGCCCATGCAGGGGACACGGGTTCTTGCCCTGGTCGGGGAAGATCCCACATGCCTCCAGCTGGGCCCGTGAGCCATGGCCGCTGGGCCTGCGCGTCCGGAGCCTGTGCTGTGCAACTGGAGAGCCCGCGGCGGGAGAGGACACAACAGTGAGAGGCCCACGTACCACAAAAAAAAAAAAAAAAAAAAGGGAGAAAAATGGGCAAGTACAAGGTTTAGGTCATCTTTGGGGGCCGTATTTTTTAAAAGAACGAGAAAAAATGGTAACTAGATTTATCATGGTGATCATTTGGAAATGTACAGAAATACTAAATCACTGTGTTGTGCACCAAGAAAAAGAAGACAGAGAAAAAGAACAAGGAAATTTAAGTGATAAGTTGATCACAGCAGCATTTTTTACTATTTCAGAGACTACCCCAAAAAATCACCTACTGAAAAGAATGTCATAGGCAATGTAGACCAGCTACTTCTTAACTGACTCCTGAATTCTTCTCCTCAATATTATATGAATACATTGTTTTTGCATTTTTGTAATCAATATATACATATACAATGCATTTAGCATTATTTTAAACAAATTTTGTAATGTATTTTCATAGTCTTTGTGCATATCCTTTTAAATGGTTGCATAATACAATATTTTGTCAGCTTGTAATTCCGGGTTAGCTAACCGTTCCCCAATCATTGAGCATTTTAAGTTTGTTTCCACTTTTTAAATTTTTTACTATATAAGAAGTCTCTGATTGTTTTCTTCCCCAAAGTATAATTAGTGGGTCAAAGGATAATAAGAACGTTTTTTGGCTCTTGCTACATATTGCATTTGCTCTCCTAAAAAAGATGAATTAATTTTTAATACTTTCATGGCATTTTGTTTGACTGCCATTGGGAGGAAAACCAAATTATCCAATGCAGAGGTCAATTAATTTATATTATAAATTTTCCTTCTTAAAAGTTTCTACACGATTGAAAGATATAGCAGGGCTTCCCTGCTGGCACAGTGATTAAGAATCCACCTGCCAATGCCGGGGACACGGGTTCAAGCCCTGGTCCAGGAAGTTCCCACATGCCGCGGAGCAACGAAGGCCGTGCGCTGCAACTACTGAGCCTGCGCTCTAGAGCCCGCGAGCCACAACTACGGAAGCCCGCGTGCCTAGAGCCTGTGCTCCGCAACAAGAAAAGCCACCGCAATGAGAAGCCCACGCACCGCAACAAAGAGTAGGCCCCCGCTCACCACAACTAGAGAAAGCCCACACGCAGCAACGAAGACCCAATGCAGCCAAAAATAAGTAAATAAAATAAATAAATAAATTTAAAAGAAAGAAAGATGTAGCATATTAATCCCCATGATTGGGAAGCAGGAACTGGTGTGTCTGTTGGAACAGAGACCAGAAGAACTGGAAGAGATTTACGTTCGAATTCTGAAACCAAATTGTTCTGCTCTCAGAATGTATTAATACACTTACTCAAAATTCTACTTTTCAACCCTAGATGATTGTGGATTACAAGTCCTGTACAAACGCTCTCTTTCACAGATAGGAAATATAAAGGAGTAGCAATCTCAGTGTACATCAGAAGTAAAGCTGGGAGAATAATTAACCTCTATAGCTTTTGCTTCTGATCCTAAGTCATTTTGACTGCTATTTCCAAGATTTAAGTGTAAGAGTTTTTTAAAATTATTTAAAAATAATTGTTAGCTTAAATTCAACTTTTTAGAAGCAAATATTATAATAATAATCTGACATAAATCCTGGTCCCATGATTTAAAAAGCACTGTTCTTATCCAAAAACTAAACTATCATCCCTACTTGCATAAGTTTCATCTGCTTCTTCCCTTTCAAAGCAAATAAGAAAGTCAAGTATATAGAATCAGAACATGGCCCAATCTGAAGAATTAAAGATCACTCTTATTTTATTGATGAAGTATAAAAACAAATTAAAAGGTAACAAGAACACGAAAATAGTTTTAGCAACACATGAGGAAAGATTTATTTTACTAACAAATACATTTAATTGATAATTATCTTGATATATTTCAAAATTAGAAACAGGGACTCTCAAACAAAATATTCAGAATGGATCCTCTATTGGAGCCTTTTTTATTAAATAGCAAATGAACAGATTCCAAGCACTCTTGCAATGCAGAGGCCATTTAGGAGGCTACCTCCTAACCCTAACTCCCACTTATTTTCCATTGTCTTCATCCTTGCCAGGGACCAGAATGTACAGGTGATTCTCCTTCTTGAAATGGATCTTCAACTAGTAGAAAAACTCTGAAAACTTAGTGGCTATCAAATGCAGCATTGTTTTGAATTTGCAGTGTTCTTTTGGAAAAACATATAGCTTTCACTTGAAAGTTATCTCAAAACAATTTTTTGAATAGATTAATTTCAATAGTATAAAGCATATGCTGAAGTATATTGAGGACCTAATACATTATGTCATTTAATCTCCCAGCATTAATCCTACTAGGTAGATATCATTCTTACCATTTTGCTATGAAATAGCTGAGACTTATAGGTCAAGGAACAATTTAAGGATTAGGATACAGTCCTAAATCGTGAGTATGGCCAAAAGGGTCCACGGACTCTTGCCTTCTCTAGTTCCGTCTTCTCCACTATCCTGCTTGCATCTTACTCTTGGGCCATTCCCACCTTCCATATTTACAATCCCTCAGTGCTCTGCCTTGCCTCCAGCCATTGCCTCACATTGCTTTCCCATGGGGTATCCTTGTCTGGAATGCTCGTCTTACACTCTGGCTTCCTTCTTTTCCTCCTTCAGAATTTAGCTCCATCTCCAACTCTCCAAGAAGCTCTCTATCACAGTTTCCAAAACAGGTTCATTTTGCCTGACACACAACAAGCCAAAACGCTAACATGCTGAGGTTTGCAGCAAAGAGTGTTCATTTGCAAGGCAGCCAAGCGAGGAGATAGGAGAACACATCTCAAATTCACCTCCTCAAAGCCAAGGGGATCAGGAGTTTATGGGACAAAGAATAAAGAAGCAGGGTGGTATGAGGCGTGGGAAGTGCGGGGAGGGTGAGGAAAGGTGATTGGGAAAAGATGCAGTAATTGTTGTTCCGTGCAGACGTTTCTAGCCAACAGCCCTCTGCACACTCTGAGGGTGGAGTTTTGGGCCCTCTGATGTTAAAAGATCACTGATTGGACTCTAGCGTCTGCCCAGTTGAAGGGTCAGTGGTCCTATCCAGCCTTAACCAGCTGACCTCGAATTAGATGCAGCTGACTCCAAGTTCCTAAACAATAACTTGGGCAAATATCTTATTGTTTAGGTTATGCACCGCTTGGAGGACATGCAAGTCTTAAAACAACCTTGATTAGCGAAGGCAGGTGAAATGGATGTAGCCCACGGTTTCATAACTACCCAACTACAACCGCTTCCACTTCCGACTGGGTTGGAGGCTCTTCCTTTCTGCTCCTGCTGCTTTTCCCTTCTACGTGGTACTGTATTTGGGTGTTTTCTTGTCTATCTCTCTCATTAGACTGTGGACTTATTGGCCTTTATAACAATGAACAGTCTGATAAGGAGGGCAAAGAAGCACAGGAGGTAGACCTGCTTGGAAAACAGTTTCTTAGATGTGGCATAAGATCAGCATAAGTTCATCCACATTCTTGGTTTCTCTTTGGTCTTCTATAGAGGTGACTAATGCTTAACATTGATCCCTGGGCATAATGGATACCTGAAATGCCTTCTGAATTGTAAAAGGAAGATTGAATTTATATTCAATATAATTATTGTTAATTGTTTTTAGATTTGTCTCTTTAATGTAAATTATGTTTTCATTATGAGGTAATTTTTATGCTTTATTCTTTAAAAAAATATTTTAAGCTGGTTTTTACTATCCCAACATCATAACTGTTAGCGCATTGGCATATTTCTTCCAATAGCTACCTAGTTGTCATCATACTTTATCTATAATTTTGAATTTTGTTGCTTTTCAGTTAAATAATTGATAATAATAAGGGTGCTAAGCTAAATTTTACTGAGCCCTCACTACGACCTCATTTAAGTTTCAGAGACACACTGTATCAGGAGTTGGCAAACTATGACCCGAGGGCCAATTCCAACCTGCCATCTGTTTTTGTATAAAGGTTTTTCCATGGTTGAAAAAAATCAAAAGGAGAATAATACTTTTTGTCATGTGAAAATTATAAGAAACTCAACTTTCAGTATCCATAAATAAGGTTTTTACTGGACCACATCCATGCTTATTCATGTATGTATTGTCTCTGGCTGCTTTGACACCATAATGGCAGAGTTGAGTAGTTGCAATAGAAGTGCAGGGTCTGCAAAGTGGAAAATATCTGCTATATGGCATTTTACAGAAATATTTGCCTACCCCTGTTCTATAAGAGAGATGCTGTTAGCATCTTCATCTTACAAATGAAGAAACATGCTTAGAGAGGTTGAGGCTCCAAAGCTACAGAATCAGCAAGTGGCAAAACGGGCTTTTGTTTACAGTAAAAAATTCTCATTCTCTGAAAATTGGCTATCTACGTGTAACTTGCATCAATGAAACGCTTCTACTCATTCACCAGAACCTTCTGTTTCCCATCCATGGGTAAGAGCAGGTATTTACAATGACGTCTTTCTTGTTGGAAACAGGCTTTGGCAGCTTTCAAAGAGTATTTGAACAGATGTGCTGCTCTCATATCCTTAAAATGGAAATAGAAGCCTGAGATTAAATTACTTTTCCAGGATAATGTGACATGATATCCAGGCTTCTTATCTCTGAGGCCAGCAGTTCAACTGGTAGGTCAAGCCTAAGATTGAAGACTGAAGAGTCTCTCTTTTGCCTCAAACCAAAATTACAGTGATATCATGAACCAGAACTTTGATGG